GGTTATGTTCTTACAATACAAAACCTCGTGTCAAAAGAGGTAGGGTTTTAAAAATCATCAAAATTTTGTCCAATTTAAACAATATTTTAAAGGGGGATTGTCAGCAAATTGTCTAATTAAGTCCTCTCCATTACGTTATTTCACAAGAAAATAATTTTACTACAAAGCCCGTGTTAAACTTACAGAAATACTTTACATATTGTTTAGAAGTAATTCATTCAAATATTAAAAGAAATACTTTGCACACTAGCTGCAATATTAAAAGAAATACTTTGCACACTAGCTGCAATGTAAATCACAAAATAAAATATTTTCAGTTACAATATATGTGACAAGATATTTAGTAGTACTGTAATTTTTTTAATGATTATATCACATACAATTATTTGTATCCAAAATAAAGAAGCAAAAATAAATTATTTACCTCTAAACTTGATTTAAGAAATGAATGTAATATTTTTTCCTTTGATCGATGTATCAAAGAAAAATTTTTCTTTGATACATCGATCAAAGGAAAAAAATATTACAATCATTTCTTATCATTTAATTTTTGATTTTAAATTAATAAAATGAAACTTTCTTTCACTTTTCTATTAAATTTACGCATCAAAAACATTGCGCACGAATTCATCACAACAACGTTAACGTTGCTGAAATTCAAAAGGGCTCAAACGAAGAAACGTTCTCAAATATTATCGTGTCATTGCCAACATTCTCTGAAATAATTTATAGTTCTTTAACAGAAAAAAACTTACCTGTTGTGTTATCCCAATGGGTATATTTTCCACGGTAAGTTATCTAAGTTCGTAAATGTCAGGGTAAGCTACTCAAATATCCTAACATGCAATTCTAACGTTAGGTCACAGGAATTTTGGATTTCATTTGCACATCTTTTCAACTGAATTTCAAACTGAACATATAAATAAGTATCACAACCTGTCAATGCTGTAAAGCCTGAAAGAGTCTGCTTCCGACTGTTTAAGATAAAAAAGAATTCCTTCCTCATTCAGGCAGTGTCGTTTTTCTCGATCATTCGTTTCCCAAGATTGAACAGGTTTTGCCTAACGGTTTTCCCTGCTTTTAGCGTAAAAAAAACATTTCTTCAGAATTCTGTTGTTCATACCAGATATCTCAGAGCCGAACATTTAACAAAAGTATGTCGATTTCTTTCCTTCTTTCCCAAAACTGTATTGTTGTTATGCAGACGATTTGATTTGTTTAGCAAAGGGGGATAATTCAAAACGAAACGAAAGTAGAAAATAAGTCAGGAACGTAACGGACAGGTTTCGAAATTCAGGAAAATATTTATTTATTTAATTAAAGGTATTTAATTATTCCTTCAAAAAGTAATCTGGAAGGGGGAATATACATGTAAAGACTGCCAAAGTAGTTCCGGCTGCTTAGTGCAAGCGAACTCTAGATTTTATTGATGCAGTTATCAAAACAATTTTTTATCCAATCAGAATCAAGTATTTTATAGAAATTAAATGATAAAACTGTGAATATACAAAATGATGAATCATCATCTGTGGCTGGGGAATCATACAAGTTTTGATATACTTTTAAAAAATTATTTTACAAATTTCCTTTAAAATTCATAAATTAAGTATATATAAATTCTTATCTATTACAATGCTTAAGTCCATTCCTGTAAATTCAAGTGATTAAAATATTGACCTAACACCCATTCTCAATATAAGGGCACAAATGCCTCTCTGATTTTTTAAAAAATGAAGTTCAAGATAACAATTTTTCTATCAATTACCTTTGAAAGAAAGTATCTGAAGATTTTGTTTCCAGGTTTTTTTTCATCAAATTTTAATACATGGAATAATGACAAGACGGTAAAAGTAGAGGGTGATATTATTCAGAAATGTAGCTTGAAATGTACGTTACCCTTTCTTCAATGTCCAAAAAGATATGTCAAAAAAATGTAGTCATTAAAATCACAATTGGAATATCTCATCTTAACACCAGCACATCCTACCAACTCTGTCAGCAACAAATTTTCTCGGCATACGAACGTGCGTTTGATTTTTCCTTTCAAAAAACAAAGGTTACTTTTTGATCCAGATGTATAAACACATTTTTTAAAATATATGCTTTAAATTCTTCTCTCTGTTTTGTTTAGAGCGATCAGTTTGGAATCTTGCCATTTTCTATAGATAGTACAATTTAACATGTACATGTAGTAAAATTCTATCTTGTAGTTACTGTCTTTTTTAACATATATCCATGCCGATTTAGACAACTACGTAAATGTAACGTACATTTCAAGATATATTTCTGTTAATAAAAAGCTTAAAATTCATCTAAAAATTCATCGTTTTGTTTCAGTTTATTCCAAAAAAGATTCTCTATGTAATCACATTGTGTTATATGTCACAATCACCACTATAAAGACGCGATTGCCTCAGAATATGAGTAGGTAACGTACATTTCAAGCTTGTAATAATATGTAAATAGTAATAAGAAAATATTGAAAAAAAGCAATTATTGACATAAAAATCATTTCAATGAAGCGTTTTAACGCAGTAATATAAGAAATTAGAATGTAAAAAAAACGTGGTTATTTGTCATCAACTACATGAATGTCACGTCACTTCGGTAACGTTCATTTCACATATTATTGGGGAGTCCCCTCCATTTCAGTTCATTACCATTCTTTTGTGCTGTTTCGCTGAAATTGACATCGGTCGTAGCCTAGTTACTTCTACCTGTGTGCAAGGGTACAGACAAAAAAAAATAAGAGTAAGATGTATTTTGCTATGATCTAAAAAATGCTTGTGTTTGGCCATTGAAACTTAACATAAATCTATTCCGAATATATCCATCGACAGTCTTGATAACAATTTCATTTAGTATGTTGCAACATCGTTTGTCAAAACACAAACATACGTACTTTTCAGCAGATCTGGAAAAATATAACCCAAAATGCAATGATTCAAACAAAACTAAGTAGTGTGTGCCTTTCATTATTTGAAATGTACGTTGCCGTCTTGTGTTCTGGGTTTATTTGTTTTGTTTCTTTTCTTTTTCTTTTTGTTTTTGTTTTTTTTTTTTACTAATTATGAGCCTATGCATACCTTGTTTTAAATTATCAACAACAATTAAATTGATATTGACGAAAAGTCGCATATTAAAAGTAAACAAACTGCAAAAAAGGTTGCTAAAGATGAATTTAAGACTCTTAGAAATAAATTTCTAGCATGTGGTTATAATCTACCACATTTACGAGGATTGGGGGTGCATTTAGATGGATACATGTGGTCAGTTGTCAAATGGATTGTAACGATAATTTTGTTTCGCTAGTGTAAACGCAATTCATTGACTAAATAAAAAAAAATGTCAGTTAGAAATGCGCGAAATGTACGTTACCATACGTAACGTACATTTCAAATATAAAAATCAATTCTCTTCCACAAGCGTACGTTAGACATGTAATATATTGATACTATTTGAACTTGCATATCATAAGAAATGCATCATACAGGTTTCGTATTCAGAAATATATACAGGTATCAAAATTATATTACATATAATTGACCTTAATATATTTTTTTTTCCTCAGCAGAAACGTTTCTTCTCATTAATTTTGGGATTAAGCCGACCTCCAACCTTTGAAACTTTCCTTTGTGTACACATTCGAGTGTGTGAAAGTATGAGAATACATGAAAATTCGTGCGAGATTCACTTAATTCGAATTTCATGGTAACGTACATTTCAGTAACGTACATTTCAAATGATCACTTTTCATGTAAAAAATAATTTTTAATTGTGTTAAGCAAAACGTCTTTGCCAGTTTACAGGATACAAGGGGTTGCTTATTCAGAGTCGTCTCATATTTTCTACTTAATATATATTCTTAATGGAAGAATATAGGTAACGTACATTTCTTTCTTATCTCTACGATTGAAAATGTCTTTCATTCCGTAAACATATTTATAAAAGTTGCTCAAATTGTTCAATTTCATGTTACATTATCTAAGTAGGAGTAATTAATCCTTTGAAATTTCAAATTTAGCCCATCAATGAATTAAGGAGAACAAAACTATCAGGTGTATAATCTTTGTGTTTGCTTGTAATGTGGTTGAAATAGAATTAAGCGACAGGGACATTGCACAATAAAAATTATTTATTATCACAAAGAAAATGTATTTATTGTTATGAAAAGAAATATATATGATACAAGGTTTAACTTATCAGAAAATTTTTACTTGAGAATCAAAACTATACATTACACAGAGGGGATTCAGCATAATATTTGCCTCGGCGACAGTAACGTACATTTCAAATAGGCTACTATATTTGAATTTGGAACTCCTTAAATACCCTTTCAGATCGATAATTATATGAATTCTTATTCATTGTTATATGACTATTTATAATGTTGATTTAAAAATTACATCAGTGGTATTTCTTCTAAATGAAAACGAGGCGACATTATTTGAGCCCTTATATTGAGAATGGGTGCTAACCGGAATATACGTCCATCAGTTTCTCAATTGTTTTGGAACCCGTGTAGCCTGTATGTCAAATCTAACTGCATTTCACACAACTTAAAAAAAAACAACTTTCCAAATCGATTTTGAAAGTCTTATATTAGCCATTATATTGAAAATACTGTAAACAGGGTTATTTTCGCCCGCTTTATTTTCGCCCATTCAATCTTGACAACAATTTTGCCTCGATTTAAATTCGACCAGTTACACTTTTCTTTAAGAATTTTACTATATTTTTTGAGTTTGCCTCATTGTAAATTTGCCCAAGCAATGCTAGGGTGAAAGGGGCGAAAATAAAACAGGGGCGAAAATTTGCCTGTATACAGTATTTTGTGAATGAGATATGTGTTCAAAGAGAAAAAATTACTACATATTATTTACATGCATGTCTACTTGAAACTCGTCTTGGCACAAATAGCACGTTTGTTTGTCGAGCTAAAAAAGGCAAAAAAAAAAAAAAAGTTTACAGTTGTATCACATCATGGTTTTTTTCCCAAGAAAAAAAACGCGGTTGTTTGAAAAGGCAAAATTAAAAATCTAGTTTGGTGGTCATTTCGTGTTGGTCAGACTCTGGTTTTACATTCGGTTGAACTTTCCGATGGTATGTCGGCAGTTCGGACAGCTGTGGACGACATCTTTGCAGCCATCAACACAGAAAGGGATCAGGCAACAACCCAGCCACAACCTACAAAGTAACAGACGGAATTATTTCAAATAATCTTAAATACAAATCGACAACATTCAGATTTTAGATCTACATGTTGCTTTTTACGAGATTATTTCCTTTTAGACAAGCCTTGGATCATTAACATGTATTTGAATCAATTAGACATTCTTTCAAAGTCATGTAGCAAGTCTGACATACTACATGTACATGTAGGACTATATCTGAAGAGCAACCTTTGGCCAAGTATATAAGGTGGTCATAAAATTTGTCAACAATTATAACTTAACATTTTCTAATCATATATTCTGGAACTGCAGAAAAAGGCATCTATTCCAACCCGCAGACTTCCAGGAATGTGTAGAGAGTTTCCTCCACAACCAATCAATTTAATCCTTTATAAAATTTTGGCGCTTAAAATATTCATCAGCGAATAATTATTTTTAAATTTGCTCACCCAAACAGGCACAATACAAGGGCAATAACCCAAGCAAAGGTTCCGGTTTCGTAAGAGGTTGATGTAAGGATCTCAGCCTGACAGGCCGGACATTTAGTGCGGACCGGATGTTCTCTAAACTGTTGCGTAATCACCATTCCTGGCTGATGGACAACGGTCACGCTTGCATGCCCCATCATCGGCTGATAACCTGGCTGGTAGCTCGCTGCAAATTATCAGATAAGTTGTTATGAACATTTATATTTTGTTAAATTAAATGAGTGAAGGTTAATGAAATAATGTGTAATAAATACTATAAAATAGAGAATTTTTAAAAAAAACTTAGAAATCTTTCATGTTGGTGCTCAAAATATCGAGTTTGTCATTTTCAACATGGGTTACTTGCCAATTAAAGTTACTGAGTACTTGACAATTAAAGAAATCTTAGTAAACCAAAATCATATTGGGAAAATATGAAATGAACAATAATCCATTGACCTTTATAGAATTTCACAATACAAATACTTCGTTATCATTAATATTTGATGACAGTTTCAATTTGATTAATGAAATTTAAGTGTACCAGTGTATTAATTTCAATCGACATTTTAGCACTTTTCTCGCAAGTCGATGAAAACTAGAAATGTTTTTTCCTAAAACTATCACAGGTCTTGACAAAGGTAAATACACGGTTCATCACTTTGACTTACTAGAGCTTACGAGTGAATTCACTACACATGTAAGACCATGGTTCACAATTAAGAAAATATATTCAAAAATTACATTATTAATCAATAAATAAAACTGCCTTAAATTTATTATCTTTTCGAACTCAATTTTTTTTTATAATTTGCCCGACTGTGATATGTAAAACAAAGAACTAATGTAAGTGGCCTAACTTGCAGGAGAAATTGCAATCGATTGGCAATGTCTTCTTTAAAGCACGTCACGTATAAAATGACAGTTACTAAATTATTCAGTGTAGAATAACGATTTTTTGTGTGTGTATGTGACCTAGTGGGGTATATATATTCTAGTATGTATACAGGTATATAGCCAGACAAACAAAGAATGGTTTAAAACAGATCACAA